GTTGATTGTGTTTGGATGTCTAGTGTTAATTTATGAATTATTTCGCCTTTTCTATAGTCATTATTAATGTTACAGACACGACCATTGATTTCCTCCCAGCGTCCGTGTAGGATTTCTCTTCAAAACAAATAAAAAAAAATAGGAAAGAGAATGTTAGGTAATATAATAAAGTGTCCATTGTTGCCGATATTTGCTGTTATTTGGCCAAAAACTTACGATAACATATATATATATATATATATATATATATATATATATATATATATATATATATATATATATATATTAGTATAAATGTATAATAAATTACATGGCGAAAAAGGTAATCGATGCAAACTGAGGTTGTCAATTCATGATATAGATCATAGTATTTTTTTAAAATTCCTAAAACATTTATAAACGAGCAAACTTCTCTAGTTTTGGGGATGTTAGATATAAAATATGTACAAGTATTTTGATAATATAATTCAAAGATAAACAAATGCTATTTTCCTTTATGTATATCTCCCTATATATATATATATATATATATATATATATATATATATATATATATAGATAGATAGATAGATAGATAGATAGAAACATAGTTATAGAAAACACAACTATAATAGCCTTCATGTGAAAGAAAAAAAAAGCCTAAAATTAATGCATTATAATTTATATTAAAAAGTTAGCACTCAGCTATCAATACGGTCAAAATGCTCTGGCCATGTTTGAAAAAAAAAAAACATTCCGATAAATCTATACATTCAGAAATAAGAATAAAACTCCTACTTAGAGCGCTTGGATAAATAGAACTTTTGGACATTTTTTTTATACATTGTATGTCCAGAAAATAAAGACGTTTATACGAACACAAGAAACACGAAATAAAAAAAAATGAACCTTGTATAAGACAGATTATTACCTAAATACAGAATATATATGTATATGTGTTTGTTGTGTGTGTGTGTGTGTGTGTGTGTGTGTGTGTGTGTGTGTGTGTGCTAAATGTCAAGGATAGAGCATATGTAATTATGAAAGTGAACTTGAGGTCAACACTAAGCGGCAATCTTCATCCATGTAGAAGACAGTGCTTATACATGAAACTTTGTCACCTCTCAGTTTTTACCTCAATGCCCACTAATATATATATATATATATATATATATATATATATATATATATATATATATATATATGTATATATATATATATATATGTGTGTGTGTGTGTAGGTATATGTAATAAATTCTCAGAAAAAACATTTTATGTCTTTCTTCATGCGTTGTGAATCTGTTAAAATAGTATTTTGTCAACCAACTTAACAACATTGAATCTACAATATTCACCTTTGAAGATGAAACCAAATACACAAATACACTCTTCCCGTACTAGATATCATGTTACACAGAAACAATAATGAACTCAATTTTGACGTTATGGAACAATAACCAACACAAATGACCTGGTCAATTTCTACTCAAAACACTCTTCTAAAACTAAATGTGGAATTCTTATAGGTTTCTGTTTGAGAGCATTAAGAACCTGCAGCCCCCAATATTTAAGTAAAGGAGAACCATACATAGAAAACACATTCAAAACCTGGAATATCCATATCATTTCATCCACAACGCAAGAAGAAAGGCATAATCATCATCTGTAATAAGAAATTATGAGAACATACATAATACTACCGTCCAACTTCATCACGTCCACTATCCAGAAGAAACTATCCCATCTAAATAACCTCAAAATAATCACAAACGCTTCCAAAATCATTATGGATATAATCAGATCCTCAAACACCCATAGCAAGAATATTCGTGAAGCAGGCACATATAAAATAAGCTGCCAAATCTGTTCCTCACAATACATTGAAGAAACCTGCAGAAAAAAAAAAAAACAACGCTTCTGTGAACACAAAAGAGACCTCATAAATAACAATTTATTAAATGCACTAGTCATAAATTTAACCACAATTTTGATTTTATAAATGCTACAAAAAAGGAAATAATTCACTCAGAAGGAAAATCCTCGAGAGTGCTGCCATTTAATATTATCCAAATATTAATCTAAGCCTAGGTTTTTTCCCAATATCACTTATTCTAACAGAATCACTACTCTCCCAATCCAACGCTCACAGCAAATATATCAAGAAATCAAAAGAAAACTGTTGAATCCGACAATACATACAATATTTCTACACGTGAAAATATTCTCTTCGAATAAAGTAATTAATGTAATTTTTCAATTGACCATATGAATATACAACAGCGTTTTTAATTTTTTCTAGTTGCTAACATTTTGTTTGTTGTTTATAGATACTTTGTTTTAATAAATCTATTTCGTTTTTTGCTTTGAAAAAGTCCACGTTGGACGAAACGCGTCGGCTAAAATAACTTTTGTCTTTTCCCTTAATACACACATACACGCGCGAGCTGTATATATATATATATATATATATATATATATATATATATATATATATATATATATCAACAATTACGGCATCTTACAATCCGATACGATTTGTCATTGCTATAAATGTTATTTTAAGAATCTACACTTTATTTGTGTAAACGTGCCTCTTTTTTTTAATGGTGAAAATGTCTACTGTCCTAGATATCGGAAGCCTTATAATAGACTTTTTAGTTGATGAGTTCGGTGGGCATCAGTTTCAGTGTCTTAGAGAACATTAAATCTACGAAAATATATCTTTTCTTTTTTTTTAAGCCATCCACCCCAAGCAAGGCAGGAGTGCCACTAGCACGGAAGGGGTTACATAGGATTGAGAACAAGAGTAAAAAGTCGCGTTTGACGAAAGGATACAGAGAAGGACTGGGAACGAGATCAAGCCATCAGAAAAAAAAGTCGATTAGCATTACACTTGAATATTTGAAAAATAGTGTTATCAGGGAAGCAAGCAAGAGGAAGGGAGTTTCACAGATGGGAAGCGTGAGAGAAGAAGCTGTTTGAGTAGAAGAGACGGTTACATTTAACCATTTTGACTGTGAAAGGGTGGGGCCGAGATGTCAGCCTAGTAGCTCGCTTAAATTCATGCAGTTCGGGAACCAGCGAAAGTAGCTTGGCTGAACAGTTACCGTGAAAATACCTGTAGAAGAGACAGAGGGAAGTATAAATTTTCTAATAATATATGCATGGGTGTATATAAGAACATCTATCTATATACATGTGTGTGCATGCGTGCGAAGTTATATATTTGTGTGCATGCATATGAAGTTATATATTTGTGTGTGCGTATGTATGCGAAATTACATATATGTGTGTGCGCATACAGGCGAAATTATGTGTTTGTGTGTGAGAGAGAGACTAGTTATGTGTATACGTGTTTATAGGTATTTGTTTAACTTCGTTTAACGTAGGATAACGAGCAAAGTGAAAAAAAATATATCAAGATCACCCCAAGAGTTAGACGGTCCCAATCAATGGCAAAGTAGCATGTAGAATGTTGACGGTTTGGGGCAGTAATGGTTAACTGAAGACCAATGGAAGAATTCTGTCTAAGATTAACGGTTAATACCTCCACTCATCGTAATCATCATGTCTCGTGATTAATGCTTTCTCAGTGTACAATGCCTACATAACTAGTACGCACTCTTCCCCATAAATATAGAAAATATTAAAATATACATTAAATGACAACCGGAAATTTCACATATGCAACATTTTTAATGAGCGGCTATGTATGCATCATCATCCTAGTGTATTAGCCAATAGGTATTTTGGAGTTGGGTGCACACTCAGGAAGTAATTCTGAACTTTAAGGAATAGCTAGTTGGGGTTTGAGGTCATCAAAATTGACATATTTTCTTCCTGTTACAATCAACAACTTTTCGTTCGTCTTGTGTTCTATTTTCTTCTTCATATTCCCCTTTATATTTGGGCTCAATATTTTTATTTTTTATTTTCCTCTTTAAATTTCCAAAGGTATGTAGACAGGACATTACTGTTGCGATAATTTCACAGGTAAAAAGATGTCTTGCCTTTAGAGTATCGTTGCCTATATTTGCATTCCTTCGAACCAAAATGTCATAGTTGGAAGGCCTGAAATTTTTAACTCAGCCTTATATACAATAGTGCTAAAGAAACATTTTCTATTGAGGGGGTAATTTTCTTGTTTGCAGTTATACTTAGACGAGATATTAACTGGTTTAATAAGTTTTCATTTTGCCTTTTCCTGATGCGATTCATATGGGCATATAAGTATAGAAGATTTATTGATGATTTTATAAATGATGTTGTTGGGAAAGAACATTTATTAATATTGATAAAGATGTCAGCTATAGGATTGACTTGTAAATTTTGGGTGGTGTAATGGGTAGCAGAATGAAAGACCGGAGATCCGAGTAAAAAATTCTAGTCGCGTTCGATACATTCACTTACAGTCAAATACCCTTGGGAAAAGTATCAACAAATCTCCTCGCCCAGTTATGGGTTAAATAGTCGAACTTTTGTCTAGAAAAACTGTGATTATTCTCAAAAAGATTATTAATGCAATATTCTCATTACAGTCCAAAAAGTATTCGGCTTTAAATAACACACAAATGTTGATAATACGTAAAAAAATAAATTAATCTGTCAATTGCTGTTAAGTTGAAAGAGGAAGTGTAATGCGAATACTATTTTTTTCATTTATTTCATTATTTATTGGAATTTGCTTAACATTTCGATATTGCTATACGGTGTTAGATAGATAGATAGATAGATAGATAGATAGATAGATAGATAGATAGATAGATAGAACACAGACAGATAGATAGATTGATAGACACAACACAGGCATATATATATATATATATATATATATATATATATATATATATATATATATATATATAAAATAGAACATAGATATGACAGACAGAACACAGGTAGATAGATTGATAGACAAAACACAGGCATATAGATAGATGGATAAACAGAACACACGCAGATTGCTGTTAAGTTGAAAGAGGAAGTGTAATGCAAATACTATTTTTCATTTATTTCATTATTTATTGGAATTTGCTTAACATTTCGATATTGTTATACGGTGTTAGATAGATAGATAGAATGAATGGATGATGAATAGATAGATAGATATAGATAGATAGAACACAGACAGATAGATTGATAGACATAACACAGGAATATATATATATATATATACATATATATATATATATATACATAGAACATAGATAGATAGACAGAACACAGGTAGATAGATTGATAGACAAAACACATGCATATAGATAGATAGATAGATAGATAGATAGATAGATAGATAGATAGATAGATAGATCCCCTGGTCGGCGGCTGATGAAGTCAGGGTATCGCACGTGCTAACACACGTTGTATGTTAAAAAATATATATATATATATATATATATATATACATAGAACATAGATAGATAGACAGAACACAGGTAGATAGATTGATAGACAAAACACATGCAGATAGATAGATAGATAGATAGATAGATAGATAGATAAACAGAACACACGCAGATAGAAAGATAGACACAACACAGGCAAATAGAACATGTAGATAAAACATTTGCAAACAGAAAATTTAGTGTGAAAGTATGCGGAATTATATGTATAGCTAAAAAATAGGTTTGTTAATAATTCAGTAGTCTACTCATGAATCTATAAATATAAATTGGTCAACATATTCTGTTCCTAAACCGTACACTTAACCCATCGTTTCTCAGGTGCACGGATAAAATTCCTTTACTAGCTCTGTTGACATATTTATTCATCCATGTGTGAGCGTGTAGAGAAATTAATAGAAATTTGAATCCTTTGTAATACGCATACTATTTGATGTAGCTATATGCATATCCGATTATACAAGTGGATACTGAAGAGATTATGAAAACCTCTTATTTGTTCATGTATTGATAAATCGGTCTTGAACCGAGAAGTTTCAGCACCTCCCCGTCGATAAATCTATCTATCTATCTATCTATCTATCTATCTATCTATATATATATATATATATATATAAATTATATATATATATTATATATATATATTTATATATATATATAATAAATTCATTAAAATATGTTTTTTCCGCTACACAGTTCTAACCATGTTTCAAAAATGGAAGCTAAAAGCGCCGAAAAAATTCGCTTGAGGAAGAAATGGAACTAATGTCTTTAATTTAATTACAAAATTAAATTCGGGCCTTTTAGCTTCCATTTTTTGAAACATGGTTAGAACTGTGTATGGAAAAAACATATTTTAAATCAATTAATTTATAATATTAATACTCTGTAAATTTACATTGAGCACTATTTTGTAAAAATAAAAATATCTATAAGAACACTGGATTATATATCTTACTGTTTTCTTTATTTTATTTATATATATATATATATATATATATATATATATATATATATATATATATATATATATATAAAGCACACTGAATCCCTAGAAGACAGTTAAGAAAATCAGAGAAAATAGTAAAGTCAATTCTTCCTTCACAGCGATGCTGAGTCCCTGATAAATATGAAAACGGGTTTTGTACCCTGGTCATGTCAAATTGATTGCATATTATGACGTCAACAAAAGCCGCTGATAAGTTTTTGTGCCTTCAAGGGCTAATGTTGGCAACGAATGTCAGCCATAACGAAAAATGACGTGACCATCAGCAGCATTGGAAAGTCTGATTTCTTGAGGGAAATTCCCGTGCCCAACTACCGATTGCATTATTAACTTTTGTTGTGTAGATCATATCGGACAAAAGAGAGATGGAGAATGGCCAAATCTCGCCCCCCATTCAAGTGTATGCAAAAAGGAAATAAAAATCTCGCGAGACTTAGTTTCTGTTTTCTTTTTCTTTTTTTCGTTTTTAATGCTTTATTATATTATACGGATATACTGGATTTTGTGGCTATCAAATTTTGCTTGCGTCTTAAATTGACGATACATGACGATACGCACTATAGAAATAATGATATTTTATAATGAAATATCTCTCTTTTGTCAATAGACAGAATTATTTTGATGAATAATCTTTTATATACAGGGTGGGTGGAAAGAAACTTCCGATTTTAAATTATTTATAACAACACTTTTTTATGGATCATAATATCATTGTTAATTTCTGTTTTGATTACGGGGCGACAAGTGAAACCGAGAATGGCACAACGCCTGACACCACGGCATGAGTCCGTAGCGCAATGGGAGAGATGGTGACGCAGTGTTCATAGACTTCGTGCTTCTGTAGATGCAGTAGATGAACCATTATAAATTATCCTGCCAAACTGATGAGTCGTGGATCTGTGGCCGATACCAGAGAAGGGGTTGACCTTCAACATTCACACGGGACGTAAATGTGCAAAGGGTACCAAAAATGTACCAAACATATAAGCAGATGATAACAAACACTGGTTGACAAGTCCGTTGCACATTTAGAATTTTCACACTTTCATGTACGTCTGCCATTATACTGTTCAAAATAAAATGTTTTATGAAAATCGAACAATAATTGATAAATTTATTAACAATTTTATAAGGCGCTTTTAACTTTGGTATTTGTATGGACGTCAAAGAAAAGTTTTAAAATCAGTTTTGTTAATATCGATACGTAAGGTTGGTGACTCATGATTAAAACAGTATTTATTTTACGAAATGAATAAATTACATGCGTAAATTTTATTGGCATTGTTTCTGCAATTTACATTCTCTCTTTCATAAATTCACGCAAGTTTGTCTGTGTGCCCTCACGTTACATTAGTATAGAGCGCAGTCAAAAAATATCCGCACTTCTGTTATAACATACAGGGTGTTTCACAATTGTTGAAAGGAAACCGCGGCCTCTCAGATGGGGGAGAGCTCGAGAAGCGTGAGGGCCTTGATAAGGAGGATCAGTATTTCCAGCAGGATGGTGCTCCTCCTAACACTGCTAATGTTACCATGGCATGGCTTCGTGCAAAGTTTGGAGATTGTCTCATCAGCCGCAAAACTTTAATGAATGGTCACCTAACACGCTTGATCTGACCCCCCTCCCTCCAAAAAAATTTCTTCATCTGGGGGTTCCTCAAGCACAACATCTCGGCAACCCTCACATCATTGTTGCTTTGAAGGCAGCCATGACTGAGAAGATTCAGCGATTACCAAGTAGGAGTGTTGCACGCGTTATCACCAACTTTGCATTCAACAGTGTCTTCAACTGAACGGCGGACATCTTGATCATGTACTCTAGGGCTCCTTTTGAGATTTTTAGTTCATGTTTGAGATTAAATGGTTTCAGATCCTAAAATATTATCCTTTTACGTTTCAATAAATGTAATTTCCATTACTCTATCATTTGTGGTCTTTGATTTATTCCCGACTAGCAATAAAGCCCGGCGTTGCCCGGGGATGTAAAAGTAAGAAATAGATCAAGTATCAACCATCATAAAGAGTGAAAAATAAAATTGACAAAGATTATTGTTTAAGGTTGACGGACACGCATGTCTTAATTAGTTTTTTTTTTTTTTTTTTTTACGAATTGGTCAAACTCAAACAAAACATTGTTTTCAATCGTTATGAGTGTACCGATTGAATAGAATTTTATTATAAACAATTGTCTTGTAAATGGAATTTTTAAAGCATTCTGAATGTAAAAATAAAGAAAAAAGTGTGCAAGACAATAAGAATCACTACCTGCCGAAAGTTTTGTTGAAATCGGTTAAAAAATGTAGGAAATCCGATCCCATAAATAAACGAACACACACACAAACAACCTGGGTTTTATAATAAGTATAACTCGATATGAGTTGCCACCCTTTCATTCTGGCGACAGCGATGCCTCTTAATCGTGTTTTTAAATTGATTTCTTGCAAAAACAATTGTGTTTTTCCCATTTTGGGCGCTGTTAGAACCATCGCAAGGTAATTTTACGTAGTCCTGTGAAGTTTTGTTGAAATCGGTTGAAAAGTGTTGGGAATCCGATCCAATATATAAACGAACACACACACACACACACACACACACACACACACACTACAACCTGGGTTTTATAATAAGTATGATCATTTTCTTTCAAAAATTGTGAAACACACTTGAAGAACTATTGTGTCTGTTATTTAGTGAATTAGCGTACAAGAATACCGTAATAAATAAGAATTGGAAAGAAATTATTTCTTTTCTACTCAAACTTGTGTCTACTGAACAGCGTTACGGACATTAGCTCTTCAAAAGTAGTATCAACCGCTTTATATAACTCTGGGAAAACAAAGCGTGTACAAAAGTGAAAAACACTTTGGCATCCAGGCACACTCAACGGAAAAATATACTTTGTAATGCCAAATGATTTTAACCCGATGAATATGCAAAATCTATAAACAGCGTGAAACACTATATGTTCTTAATATTATTCCATGTTTCCCGTCCTTTAAACGTGCAATCATGGCGCTCCACATTTTCTTTTTAGCTCTTAGCAAAAATTAGTCTTTTTGCTAACTCTCCTAATATCTGTTCTACCAGATAAGTAAGCTATTTTTCTTGTTCTTTATTTCTTGTACGGTCTTTCTTTTTCTTTCATTTTCTTTCGTTTGTTTCCATTCTTTCTTTCTTTTTTTCTCCTATATGACATGTCCCTTCAGGACGTAGGTGTTCATAGATCTCCCCAATTTTCTTGTCCTTTGAAGCTCTTTGCGTCATTTTTTGTCCCTCTTAATAATTGTTCTACGAACCAGGTACACAAACTCTTTTCCCATACGCCTCTTATCTTCAATCTGTCCTGTGAGTATCCAATTCTTCCAAGCCCTCCTTCCTCATTATTGGCCGTAGAAATTTCAGCTTTCATTTTCTGATGCAAAGGATGTGTCCTTTTTGTTAACATTGCCTCCAAAAGCATGTCTGCTGTTCACAAATACTCTCAGCATCTTTCTTCTGAACCAATTCTTGCTGTCCTTCATTCTTCCTTGTCTCTTTCTTCTCCTACCTTCTGTATTTCCTTTCTATGTCTGCTCTCAACACTGCCGTCTGCATATGTAATGACGTTATGATTTGAGTCACTAATAAATAATTCTAGCAGGACGCTTTCATACATAGTGTTACATACCGTACGTATTGTTGTGGCCTTGTTAGGACCATAAATAAAGACACAAGAGAGGAATTGAGTTAAACAAATATATTAACAGGGACAGTAATACAAGCATATACAAACGAGAGTGTTACTGCAAGAATGTTCGGTCCTACTGTCAGAGCTGACTGCTGAAAACTTCAACCTCTAAAAGGCAGTACCTGCTCCTATTTATAGCTGGGAGAGTACACATATGAACACTAATAGGGATGTCCCAATCCTCTTAAATACGTCTGACACTATTGTAAGTAAGTGGGGGGGGGGTAATATGCTGTCTATGTAGTCCACCACTAGCAGTTGTTTACCTAATTCACGCCGCTGACGAGTATTGTATTTTGTTGGTGTTATAAAGAGTACCATTTCATTTGCAATCTCTGTTTTGGTTATTCCTCATTCAATAATCATTTGTAGGTTACAACATTTTGATGACGATGATGAGATATTGGGAAGTTGGAACTATCGTTAAAAGA